TTCAAAATGAAAGCAACTGCACTGCCAAAAGGCTTCTGTTTACCACACAAAACAAATGTTGTTACTATTTCAATTCCAAAAAAGCATCTTAAAACCATCCTTTCACAAGAACATTGTTCTAGCCTTTATGTCTAATTAGATGTAAAGGAAATCTTTTGTTATTTTTGTTACACAATTTAGACTTGGCTAATAACCAGAGATAAATAATAGTTTACCCCTGCTGGGTTCTGTAGCAACATTCTTCTGAATAAAATAAGTGCACGTGTGCAGTACAAATCTTGCGAAAGGCCTTTCTTTTCTACGCCTATTTTTCTCTCATCTTTGTCCTCATTCCTTTCACCTCATAGTAATTTTCCTTTTCTTCTTCTTCTTTTTGTTTTCTTCAGCTTTGTATTATGGTTTTCACAAGTACTTTTTCTCCATTTCTCATTTTGTATGTTTTCGTCTAGAACATGCCAGGGGTCTGTTGGCTTCTTTAGTTGTAACTAAACTAATCTGTTGAGTCTGGATGGGATGGGGATAGTAAGTAAGGACATCAGAATGGAGAGGTGATTGACTTATACTGTATTGGCAAGGTAAATTACACCAGTGCGTTTTTTTCCTTTTTCATCTGTGCAGTCTTTACCTCCACTACCCTCCTCACTCCACCAAGATAAAAATACCCTGTTGATATTCCTTTTCTCAGTGTGGTGTTTGTTCTCTTTGCTTACTGTTTTAATTTAGTTTTTGACACAAGCAACATATTCTGTCTTTTCCAAACATGGTGAATATCTTTGGCTTTCTACCTACTTGTATTCGGTGCTGCTCTGATATTCAAGTGTGGATAGTATGGCTACCATATATGGCAGCCAAAACTCTGGAACAGATGTCACTTGGAGGTAAGGCAGAGTATGTTTTACACAGAGCTAAAAGTCAAGAGGCTAGGCTTTTGTTCTGACTTGACCAAAGACTTCCATTCAGCCTTGAGCAAATCCCTTGACTAATCTCTGTTGTTAAGTCTTTATCTGCTTTATGTAATTGGCATTTTCTTTATTGGAATCAAATGGGATGCTAAGCTTGATATAGTTGAAGAAAAAATTTAAGTAATATTTGAATATAACTTAAGTTTTGTGCTTCTGTAAGGGTAAAATTGTACATATTATTTGACTCTCTGTCAATTGCAAAATGTGTTGGTTTCTACTGGAGTGAGCATCTTCCTTTTAAGAAATAAGTGAACTAATGATTCATTGTGTGACATGCTCCATGCTAGACCCTTAATTTTTATTTCTCTATATTGTCTTCTCAGAGTAATAATTAAATTAGATTCTACTGTGCCTATTCCCAGGTGAAGAAACTGGGGATCAAATAAATTTTGAAATTAATTCTTGAATTCACAAATAAGTGTCAGAGCTAACATTGTGCTCGGGGTTATTTGGCTGCAAAGTCAATGCTTTTTCCTATTACTCTTACACACACTCAATTTTTCTAGTCCATTTTGCACTTCTGTAACAAAAATACCATACACTGGTTAATTTATAAAGAACAGAAATGTGTTTCTCATGGTTCTGGAGGCTGAGAACTTCAAGATCAAGTTGAGAATATCAATTTAAAGACATAATCCTATTCCTGGACATATAAGAATAACTTCAAGGAATCCCTCAGCAAACCTGAAATAAGAAAACATAAAAATAACAAACACATTTCAAATACTTGCAATCAATGCCAATTACATAAAGCAGATAAAGACTTAACCACACAGAATAGTCAAGGGATTTGCTCAAGACTGAATGGAAGTCTTTGGTCAAGTCAGAACAAAACCCTAGGTCTCTTGACTTTTAGCTCTGTGCTAAAATTACCTTACCTTCAGGTGACATCTGTTCCAGAGTTTTGGATGTTTGCCATAGTAGTAGCCATACTGTCCACATTTGGATATCAGAGCAGCACCAAATACAAGTAGGTAGAAAGCCAAAGATATTCACCATGTTTGGAAAAGATAGAATATGTTGCTTGTGTCAAAAACTGAATTAAAACGGTAAGCAAAGACCATCAGGTTTGTTATCTGTTTACCACACAGAACAAATGTTGCTACTATTTCAATTCCAAAAAAGCATCTTAAAAGCATTCTTTCACAAGCACATTGTTCTAGCCTTTACGTCTAATTAGATGTAAAGAAAATCTTGGTTATTTTTGTTACACAATTTAGGACCCTGCCTCTGCTTCCAAGCTGGTGCCTTGAATGCTGCATCCTCCCAAAGGGAGGAACTTTGTGTCCTCACATGACAGAATAGCCAGAGAGAGAGAGAGAGAGACAGAGAGAGAGACAGGGACAGAGAACCCACTCCTGGAAGCTGCTTCTGCAGTAGAAAATAGGGTCATGAAGCCATTCATAAGTACAGGATCCTCCTGACCTGAGCACCTCCAATTAGGCCTCACCTCACTGTTGCATTGGGGATTAAGTTTCCAACACATGAGTTTTGGAGAGGACAAAAACATTCAAAACATTGCCTCAATTGTGCATTTCTTATTCACCTGCTCTTTATTTTGCTACTGTGGTTAGCAAATTAGATTAATCCATAAAAATAATTATATTCAGTCATAGACTCCTTGTTTTCTCAGTACTTTAAAAAACTTTGATTCTTTTTTCCTTAGTGCATTAGCTAGCTGCCTTTCAATTAGGGGAAATGGTAAAGATAATGCTAGATCACTCATGTTAATTTCATATTGCCTAATTATAAGGTGTGTTGTTTACTTCTGAAAGCCTGGATATGTTTAGTAATATTCACCAACGAAGTACAATATCCATGGCAATTTACTTGGTTAAATAAATAATTATCTAAATAAGGAATTTAATCCAAATTAGATAATTTAAACCTATTTTAATTGAATCTTACTTTATAAACACACACTTGCAATGCTGTGCCAAGTTGAGGCAGAAAGGATGTGTAAATTTAATATTGTTTAGCGTATGCTTGGTAAAGTAAAACATAATGTGCAGATTACAGGGCATAGCAAAGTATTTGAAAGCTGTTTGTTATTGTTATGTTTTCTTATTTCAGGTTTGCTGAGGGATTCCTTTAAGTTATTCTTACAATTCTGGGGATAGAGTTATATGTTTAAATTGATTAAAATCCATGTAAATTAATATCTTTAAATGTGATCTTTTTCTTTGTTATCATAAGGGGCAGTAGTTAGAATTTCCAAACCTCTGTGATTTGCAGGGCAAAGATTTTTATTGTGTTTGTTGTCTTCTCATCAATTCTAGATGAAGAACTGAAGTGGCTTGCTAATAATAATAAAAGGAGGTGTAGTGGTAACAGCAGCAACAGCAGCAGTAAAAGTTGCAGGAGGAGTTGAAGCTGCTGCTGTAATAGTGCTATCAGTAATAGAAAACAGTGCCAAGGGGTGTGGCTGCTCAATAATCACTTTTTTTGTTTTTCCTTTTTAAAATCATTTTTTAAATGGACAGATAAAATTGTATGTGTTTCTCTTGTACAACTTGATTTAAAGTGTGTGTGTGTGTGTGTGTGTGTATGTGCACACACATACATACATACATAGATAATGGAATGATTAAACCTAGCTATTATTAACATACACATTTCCTCACATAATCATCATTTTTCTATGGTGAGAACACTTAATAGGTACTTCAGGAAAAAAAAATAAAATATTGCTTGATCTCATTCATACGTGAAGTCTAAAAATGTTGATCCAATACTCTCTTTCTTGACACTCGTTTCATACATAGGAGTAGATCTCTATTGATGATATCTGTGGCCTTCTGTTCTTTGCTTATTGACCCAAGAGTAAACATATCCTGAATGAAGTTGGAGTAATTTGGCATTCTCTCCTAGGAATCTGAAATTTGGAGTGGAGAGTTAGAGAAGCTTTGGGGTTGTCTACCCTTAATGCTAAACAGTGCTGAGCCCCAGCTGCTTTGGCCCCTGAGTGACCCACACTGTTACGTGTCTGCTAAGTATTATTTATTATTATAACTGCTAAGCATCATTTTTTGAGTTCTTCCACTAAGTATCATGCAAATTTTATTCCCTATTTTCCCATTTTGTGAGTTAACCTAGCTGTTTCATTTATTTTTAAGCAAAACCAACTTCTACAATAGTAATTATAACAACACTATTAATTGAGCTCTTAGTATAGAAGGCATTGGCTTCGTATTCTGTATCATATAATATTCACAATAACCTTATGGAGTAGACACTATTGTTATTTCTATCAGATCAGCACAGTGAGGCTGATAGAGGTTATGAAATTTAATTAATATTATATTTGTAGTAGGGTTAGTCTGAACCCAGCTTTCTGATCCTAATTGATGATTTTAGCAATGTTCATTTATAGTAGGAGCTTGTACAGTACTAGCTGATGCATGACAAAAGATGGCATTAGAAATGGAAGGGAGAATATAAAAGATTGTGATTTGTTAGAGAAGAATGGGTGGGGATGGAGATAAGGAAGATTTAACAAGCCCTTTAATGCTAGGAAACCAGAATGGAAAATTTATATTTGCTGTTGGGAGGAATTTCTTGACCATAAGGTTTGTAAGCCAGGAAATAAGTTACTGAGGGGATAGTAAAATTAAAAGCTGTAATAAAATATTAAATAACTATTCATATGGAGCCGTTTATGTAGACTTTAATGTGAAGGTAGGGAATTGGAATTGAATTCAGCCTCAAAAAATGTTCTGGACTCTTACAAGCATAAAAAATTTAGTAGCTAATAAAAAGATATTTTTTCTCCCCATAAGGAGATATCACAGCTTGTAATATTACAAACACCAAATTATTTATTTTGTTGTAAGCATCAATGATCAGAAGTAGTAGTTGATAATAAAGATGAGGATTAAATGAAATTTTAAATGCCTTTGCAAATATATGCATTAACATAGAATAATGCTGATTATTACTATTTGAAAAATCATGGGGACATCTCCTGATATGGTTTGATGTTTGTCTTCTCCAAAACTTATGTTGAAATGTAATCTCTGATGTAGTAGTACTGAGAAGGGGGACTTTAAGAGGTGATTGGGCCATGAAGCTTTTGCTCTCATAAATGGGTTAATCCATTCAGGAATTAATACATTATTAATGAATGGGTTAATGTATTAATGGGTTATGAGAGAGGAACTTATGGAAGAAGAAGAGGAAGAGGAAGAGAGAGAGACACCTGAACTAGCACACCCAGCCCTCTCACTATGTGATGCCCTTTGTTACCCTGGGACTCTGCCGAGAGTCTTGACTAGCAAGAAGACACTCACCCGATCCAGCCCCTTGATCTTAGACTTCACAGCCTTCATACCCGTAAGAAAAAGATTCTTTTTAAAATAAATTACTCAGTTTCAGATATCCCATTATAAGAAACAGAAAATGGACTAAGACGTCTCCCAAAACTTGAGATGAATTAATTCTTTTCCAGTTTTTTTAAACAGTATAATATAGATTCTTAAAACCATAGGTAAGTAAAACTTGATCTAGTTTCCTAGATATTTTAAACTGTATTGAGAAAATCTAGGAAAGAATGTGGTAATTCTCAGGAACCAGTATAGATTTACTAAGAAAAAATTCTAATTCTCATTTTCTATTTGGAGGCTTGTTAAGTTTCTATCAGGAGGAGGCCATTGAGATGGAATGTATTGATCATAGCAATGAAAGAGTCAAACAGGAGATGGGAAAAATATGGAAAATATTCCTATGAATATTTGAAACTAATCATCAATTGTTTTTAAATTTGGAGGGAAGTCTTTAATGGATTTCCACATAGAGTTGTATTGTTGTTACCTGCAGTCCAAAAATGTTATCAAGTGATTTGAAATGTTAGTTTTAACATATATTATTTATATATTATGATTTTTCTTTCTTGACTCTTTCTTTAATTTTAGCATAAGCTTTGTAAATTGAAGTATAATACACCTTCAGATGGCTAAATGATTTTCATATATGTCAGTAATTTTTATAAAGTGAACTCACCCTTGTAACCAGCACCTAGATAAAAAAAGAGAACATTACCAGAGCCTCAGAAGTCTCCTATGCTGTGCTTTTTCCATTGCCATTATGTGTCCCTAAAACTATGCTAGCTTCTAATGCTTTATATAAGTTTTGCTGTTTCTAAAGTTTATATTAATGGGATCACATAGTTGTTTAGTTTTTTTTTTTTTTCCCTTTTTTTTTTTTTTTTTTTGAGATGGAGTCTCACTGTGTTGTCCAGGCTGGAGTGCAGTGGCACAATCTCTGCTCACTGCAACCTCTACCTACCAGGTTCAAGCAGTTCTCCTGCCTCGGCCTCTCAAGTAGCTGGGTCTACAGGCGTGTGCCACCACGCTGGGCTAATTTTTGTGTTTTTTGTTTTTTTTTGTTTTGAGACGGAGTTTCGCTCTTGTTACCCAGGCTGGAGTGCAATGGCGCGATCTCGGCTCACTGCAACCTCCACCTCCTGGGTTCAGGCAATTCTCCTGCCTCAGCCTCCTGAGTAGCTGGGGTTACAGGCACGCGCCACCATGCCCAGCTAATTTTTTGTAGTTTTAGTAGAGCGGGGTTTCACCGTGTTGACCAGGATGGTCTTGATTTCTTGACCTCGTGATCCACCTGCCTCAGCCTCCCAAAGTGCTGGGATTACAGGCGTGAGCCACCGCGCCTGGCCGACAATTTTTGTGTTTTTAGTAGAGACAGGGTTTCACCTTATTGGTCAGGCTGGTCTTGAACTCCTGACCTTGTGATCTGCCAGCCTCAGCCTCCCAAAGTGCTGGGATTACAGGTGTGAGCCACCGTGCCGAGCCATAGTTTGTATTCTTCTGGGTATGACTTATCTTGCTCAGCCTTACATTTGTGAGATTCATCCATGTTGTTGCACGTAGCAATAGTGTGTTCATCCTCACTGATGCATAGCGCTTCATTGTGTGAACACTGTCACAATAGTTTTAATCTGTTCTACTATTGTTGGACGTTTGGGCTGTTTCTAGTTTGGGGATTTTACAAGTAGCACTGATGTGAACACAGTTGTAACATACATTATGTGAACTAGGTGAACATACATACATATTTCTATAGTGTATATGCCAAGGAGAGATCTGCAAAATCATAAGTTTTCCATATTTTTGGCTTTAGTGGAAATAGCAAAGAGTTTCAGTGTGATTTCTATAATTTACACTTCCTCCAAAAGTGTGTGAGAAGTTCTTTTGGTCTACATTTTTAGCAAAAATTTGTTGTCTTTTTAATTTCATTCATTTGATGATCATATGATGGCATTGATTGTGATCTTATTTTATATTTTTAAAAGTGAGATATAATTTAAATATAAAATTAGGCCTTTAAAATGAGTTATTCAGTGATTTTTTTTAGTATACATAAAGTATTGTGCAGCCATTATCATGATCTAATTCCAGAACATTTTCATCATCCCAAAAAGAAACCTGTATCCATGAGCAGTTATTCCCCATTTCCTTTTATTCCCAGACCTTAGAAAATAATGAAATACTTTCTGTTTTTATGAACTTGCCTATGTTAGACATTTTGTATAAGTGGAATCACAGAATTTTTGGCCTTTTGTGTCTGGCTTGTTTCACTTTGCATAATGTTTTCAAGGTTCTTTCCTGTTGTATCATTCATTTATCAGTACTCATTCCTTTTTATGGATGAATGATATTTCATTACATGGTTAATCATATATTGTTTATTTATTCATCCATTAATAGACATTTGGTTTGTTTCCATTTTTTATTATTATGAATAATGTTGCTATGAACATTCATATAAAAGTTTTTGTGTAGATATTTGTTTTCAGTTATCTTAGTTGTATACCAGATAATGGAATTACTGAGTTATGCAGTAACTTGATATTTAATTTTTCGAGGAACTGCCAGAGTGTTTCCGGAGTGGCTGCAGTATTTTACGTCCTCCCCATCAATGTAGGAGCATTCCAATCTATCAAATCCATCCCCACTGATGCTTTTTTTGTTATTGTTATAGTCATCATAGTAGGTGTAAAGTGACATCTCATTGTGGTTTTGATTTACATTGTTCCTAATGGCTGGTGATGTCGAGTGTTTTCTTACATGCTTATTTCCAGTTTGTATATCTTCTTTGGAGAAATGTTTGTTGTAACCCTTTGCCCATTTATTAAGTGTGTTATTTGTCTTTTTATTGTTGAATCACAATTTTTTATATATATTCTCAATCCTAGACCTTTATCAGATGTATGATTCGCAAATATTTTCTCCTATTCTCTAGATTGTCTTCTAACTTTCTTGATGGTGTCCTTTGCTGCACAAATGTTTTTAATTTTGATGGAGTCTAATTAATCAAATTTTAGTATGCTTGCTTGGGAAGTTGGTATTCTAGAAGGTGTGCCTAATCAAAGGTCATGAAGATTTGCATCTGTTTTAATCTTAAGAGTTTTATAGTACTTTTAGGTCTTTGATCCATTTCGAATTGATTCCTTTATTTTGTAAGTGGTAGGATTCCAGTTTTATACTCTTGCATATAAATACCTAGTTGTTTCAGCACTACTTTTTGAAAAGACTATTCTTTACTTATTAAATTGTCTTGGCACCCTTGTTGTAAATTAGCCATAAATGTGTATATTTCGATTGTGGTTTTAACTTTCTCTTATGAATATCATATTTAGCACTGTTCTACATGCTTATTGCCACTCAGATACACTCTACTGCAAAGTCTTTTCCATATTTCTGCCATTTTCCTAGCTGTTTTATATATTTGTATATATTAGTGTTTGTCAGTTTATGTCTTATAAATATTCTCTCTTACTTTGTGACACGATTTTGCCACTCTTAATGGTGTCAATAAATAGAACCTGAAAATTTTAATTTAGTCTAATTTATCATTTTCCTTTTATAATTAATGGTCTACATGTCTTGATTAAGAAAGCTTATGCAAGTTTATGAAAATATAGTAATTTTTTCTAAAATCTATGTTATATCTTTCACAGTTAGATCTACAATCCATCTGGAATTGACTGCTAGGTATAATGTGAAAATTGATTTAATAACTAGCATACAGTTAGCCAGCTGACCCAGATCTATTTGTTTAAAAGGTCACCTTTTCTCTACTGCACTATAGCAACACCTTTGATAGAAATAAGAGCACCACATACTTGTGAATGTTTCTAAACTACTTCTTCTGTCTCATGTGTGTTCCCCATTGTTCTTTTCTACCAATCTATTTTTCTCTCCTTTCAGTAAGAATACACTGTCTATTTTATACTCACATTATAATAAGCTTTAATATTTGGGTAAATGTTTAGTTATATTCTTTTTCAACATTGCTTTGGCTATTTTTAGTCCTTTATTTTCCATATATATTCCTGAATTAACTTGCCAATACCTACAAAAAAAATCTTGATTCTGATAGGGATTGCATTGGATCTGTAAGTCAACATGGAGAGAACTGATATCTTTGTAATGTTCAGACTTGTAAACCATGAACAGTGTATTTCCTCCATTTACCTAGTTTTTCTTTTATTTTCCTCAATAGTACTTTACATTTTTTACGGTGAGGTCTTAGGTATGTTTTGTTGAATCTTTGTCTTTGTATTGATTTAATTAGTACTTTTTTTTTTTCAAAATTTCAGGTTTTGGTTATTGCTGATACATAACAGTTATCATTTATGCACATATTGTTAAGATCAATCTCCAATAGCCTTGCCAAAGACAATAATTAGTTTTATTGGTTTGAGGTGTCCTTTGAATTAAAAAAAAAATTGTAATTTGTTAAAAAAAAAAAAAAGTGTTATTCTCATCTGTCTAGTCCTCATTTTCTTTTCTTAACTTGTTGCCTTGGTTAGGATTTCAAGTTTAAAGTTAACTAGAAACTATGATAAAGATAGCCACTTTTTAAAATATTTTTTTGCTTCTGGAAAGTGTTCAATAATTCATCATTAAATATGATGGCTGTAATGTTTCATATAACTAAGTTATTTTTTAGATTCTCTTCACATCTAGTATGTTTTCTTCTGTTCCTTGTTTGACAGAATTAGAAAAAAATCTCGTGTTGAATTTTATCAAGTGCTTTTCTATGTCTACCTAAGTAATCATAATTTTCTCCTTTTTTTCTTTACTGTGGTGAATTTTATTAATTCCTTTTAGTGCTAAAACATTTTGACATTACTGCAATAAACAGTAATTGCCTCTATATTTATGAAAGACATCATTCTTAATTTTGCCTTCTTTCCATGCCTTCATTATGTTATTTTGTCAAGATTCTTCTAAC